GAATCCTCTCCCTTGGCGAGGACCAATCTCGAGCTCCAATGGCTCGTTCATCGCTTGCTTCCAGGTGTTCCAGTCGACAGGGACCTGCCGGACTGTCACCTGTTCGGATTGTGCTCTCGCCATGTAGCTCTTCAAGTTCTCGGTATGCGGCTCCGACATCAGGTGGGACTCTGCTGCTCGTTTCTGACACACCATGCAATAAGGGTCGTCGGTCTCGTTGTTGACGAGCGTCTGCCAGGACCCTTCGAAGCGGCGACATATCCAAGTCAGCCAGCCGGAGCTCGTGAAGCGACGCTTGCCTTTCCGGGTCGGTCCGGTGAGGTAGCCCGGAGGTGGCCCACTCGGTTCCCGAACGACGGGCCTTTCCTCCATAGGCCTCCGCTCCTCTGCCGGCTTCTCCTTCTTGGGCTTCGATGTAGCGTTCTTGGCTGCCCTCGCTTCCATGAAGCGTCGCCAGGCCTCTGGGTCGTTGCCATTTATCTCGTAGCCGTCGGATCTTTCCTCCGAGGTCTTCTTCTCTTCCGTCGAGGTCTCCTCTTCCTTCTTCGGGGCCTCTTTCTTCCTCAATGTCTTGGGTGTTGGCCGCATCAGCGTGGGCGCTGTGGCCTTGTGGGAGGACGGCCGCTCCACCATCGTGGGCGCTCTGGCTCGATGGGATGATGGTTGCTCCATCATTGTCACATCTTCGGCTCCTTCCGCCGTCTCCTCTTCGGATGGCGGGGGTGATGGGACGTAGATCGTGACCGGTGAAGTCTCCTCGTCTTGTAGGGGACCGAGTCGCTCCTCTTCCTCGGTGATTCTGTTCACCCGGTGCTCGTCCACGAGTAGCATCCTGCGCGCTCGCGCTCCCTCTCGCATACCCTCCAGCTCGCTGATAGAGCGGACCATTGTCTCGCTCATGGCTTGTTCCACCTCCATTGGCTCCTTTTCCATGGTGCGCTAAGGCGTCTACCACAAAAGACGGTGGCTCCTGGTGCTTTGGGCATCCAAGGCTTTCGGGTCGATACTTGGGAGACTGCTCTTGCAAATCGCGACCAAAACACGACAAGGGAAAGTATGCTGCTGTGGTGCTACTGTCACACGCATGCACAAGCCACTCGACTGCTGGTGTTGTGTTGTTGTTTTGCTCCCCGTGTGAGATGATGTTGTCGTCTGCACAAGAAAACAAGCAGGTATGACTGTCAAGCTCATGGAAAACTGGCTTGCCCGCATGACTGACAGACTCAAAGGAACTAGGCGCGGCGCCCAAAAGCTCATCAACGGCCCTTAGTTTCTCCTTAGTCTCTCCTTGGTCCAGGTCAGCATGCTCATGACTCACATGTCCCTTGCAGTCACTCATCTCATCAAGACATGAAATGTCCAGCAATTCAGGGTTTTCGGGCTCAACACACACTCTCGCAGAATTTCGATAACTGCGATTCGAGGTCGAACGATGAAAATCACAATCAGCGGATGACTTTCGAGATCGATTTTGGCGATGTTGTTCCGTTTTGGCGATCAAATCCTGAGGCTTCAGAGCTAAAGGATGGTCACTCCGTACTGACGCAAGCCAACTTACTGATGCAAACAAGGTGGGCTTCAAAGTTACGCCATGCTTGCGGACAGTGATTCCGCCTTGCTGTACGCATAGCGTCGGTTCCCAACCACCGTTCTGACAAAGCAAATTGATGTTCAGCAAATTGTGCTTGATCTGATCGGAAATGACGGCTTCAAACCTAGCTTTACACATGTACACAGCGTCACTCTTACGCTCAGAACTGCTCTTCGATGATGCTGGGGCGGTGGTTTCAAAGCAAACTTCCACCAAAACATGTGTTGATCCGCCAATCTCAACGGAATCTCCAGTCGCAGTCTCCGCATAGGACTTCGGGCGTCCTTCCAACCAACTCAGGATCTTCACGTGGTCGCTCTCAAGCGTCTCTCTCGTGATGATGTGGAACGAACTACCAGAGTCAATCAGCCAGTAAATGCGATCATCTGAAGGAAAACTAACCACTTGGTTCGTGAGCATCATACCAAAGTGATATCCTTCCAGAAACGTCTTGATTGATGACTGTGCTTTTCCACTACCCTTGGTTGTGGGCTGCGCTGCTGCTTTCGCCGACGTAGACGATGAAGATGATGGTGCCTCTGGCTGCGTCGTAACGGCCTGGCTCGTCGCCGCTGCGGCTTTGTCCTTCGAAGGTGCCCAGCAGTCGCGTGCCCAGTGTCCAGTCTTCCCGCAGTTCCGGCAGACATCTGTCTTCTTCGCCTCTCTGCTCTTGCTTCGAGCTCTGTCTCCTTTTCCGCTTCGGTCACCTTTCCTGTCCTTTCCTTTCGCTTTGCCACCCTTCAGTCCCTTTTCTCCTTTCTCGCCTTTGTTGCCCTTGTTGCCCTTGGAGCCTTTGTTGCTCTTGTCTCTGTCGCCCTTTCCGCCCTTGCCACCCTTGAAGGCATTCGCATACCCGGATGCTCCTTCTCTCTGGAAGTCCATCACACGAAGTTGCTCGTCGTAAAACTGCAAACCAGTCATCAGCTCACCCATGCTCTTTGTTGAGTGATGGAGGAGCAGATATCTCTTGGTTTCAGAATCCAAGTGCTTCATCAGGCACAAGACTCCCTCTTGTTCTCCGATGAGCAACTCCGGGAAGCGATGCTTCACCTGCGCCTCGAACTTGAGGAGTTCGGTGGTGTACCACCTAGCGACATCAAGTGGTCGCTTGAGATGCTTTGGCGGCACCAGGCCTAATGCCTGCTCGCGAAGGGCTTGTCCCTCTACTCTGGAGCAAACGGACAACTCATTGTTCAGCGAACGCCAGAGTTCGTATCCGGCACTTGCTCCCATCTGCTTCACCTCGATGAGATGCACCAAATCCTGCCCACGCTGGAACTTGCTCATGGACTGACGAAGCAAAAACCAAAGTTTGGTCGACCGAGCTGCCTTCCCGGCTTCAAGCTTCACTTGCAAAACTTCCACACTGCTACTCATCGTCTCCTGCAACTCCGTAGCGTACCGGTCGTCAAGCAAACAAAGCCAGCTTGTAAGTTCGTCTCTGTAAGCTGTCCAAACTCGGATTTCAGCATGTCTACTCGTCATGGACGCATAGTTCAGCTAAGGCAAGTGTGGAATGTAGCCCTCTGCTCTTTTGTTTCGTACTCCAGAGTCTACCTCCATATCCACAGGGGTCGATGCATTCGCAGATGCTGCTGAGAGGTCTCCTCCAGGTGTAGGACTTGTTGACGATAAAGTTGTAGCTGCTGCAATATGTGCATTGGCAGCATTCGCACTTGCAAGCTGCAATGCCTGTGTTAGCATGGCACTCATCTGTTAAAGTTGAGCTGCCTGCTGTCGTATCTGATCGTCCTGTGCTTGCAGCATTGCTCTTGTGAACTCCATCTGTTGAGCTACTTAGGTGCAACGGGCAACTGCATTCTTAGAACTTAAAGGAGTTCTTGTGGTGCTGTCTGAGGGGGTGTTTCCATCTGGTAGAACTGAGGTCCAAACAAAGGCACAGCCCCAACTGGTGGCTGATGGCCTCCAGTTGTAGCTGTCCACTGCCTTGGGTCTACTCCGCGTGGAACTGAAGGTGGTTGTGCTGGCAAAGACCTTCCACGTCCTCTCTCTTGTATCTGTATTTCAAAACTGGCCTCTGTTGTGGCGTGGCCTCTGGCTGTTTGGTTGTGGGGGCAAGTCCTTCCTCCCTGATTTGGCGGGAACTCGTTCGAAAAGGCGGTCCTGAGGGCTTAGGGCTGGCTTTTAGAATGGCCAAAAGTGCCCGTAAAATGCGCGCAAAATCTTTTGGGCCGTAGCGCGGTCTGGCGGGGTAGAGGTTTGAAGGTTAGACTTCCATGCAACTCTGGGTGGGTCGTCCTTATAAGGTTCGACTCGGAAAGCGCCACAACCGTCAATCGTGCGATGAATGCTGGACTCGAGGGATACAAGGACTTCAAAAGATCGCGATTTTTTCACAAAGTCTCTATAAGACTCCGCAAAGACTAGAAAGATTCCAAAAGACTAGCCGAAACTTCACCGATGCTTGCAGACGCGAACCGGAATTGCAACGCACTGATGAGTGCGGCAGACTCGAACGGAAAGAGCGATATTCCAACGATGAGTGCTGCGTTGTCGTGTCAGTGCGACGGTCCAGTCAACTGTTGCAAGCTAAATCCTGCTAGCAGCAAACTGTACGCCAAAACTCCATGTGTCGAGAGCCTGAGTACGCTGAATATCAAGATATGCGACATGAAACCATGAAAAGCAAATCCATCGGCCAACTCGGCTCGGGTCAACTCCATCTTCCGAGGATCTAGCCCCCCAAGGGTCTGGCCGTTTCCCAACACCCTGCCTGAAAGAGATCTCGCAGCACAGCCGTCAAATCGACCCTCACGCTGTGGTCAAACTCTGCATCGGGGTACTTTGAATGCAACTTCGACATGACTACACCTTCCACACGGTACAAAAAGTCAGCTGGCAGCTCTGAATAGATCTCTTCACGCTACGATAGTGCATATCAATAACAATACGAATCTGCACTTTTACGCACTTTTTGGTGATCCTTACGCAGCGAGTGTGAGCAAGGCTGCACGGAAATGATGTTTTTATGGCGAAGACGCTGCTATGCCTAGTCTTTGGACTCCCAGGGATTTCACAACAAGTGCCATATGCAAACGCCTCAAACTTTAGCATTTTTTGTCACAGCGCAAGCAGCACGTCCAGCTGCGCGATGATGCTTCTGCAACTCATGAGACTGTATTTGCCATCTTCTTGGCGTTTCGCCCACGAAGTACCTTTCTGAAACCGCTGAGCGCCTTCAGCGTCTGGACATATTTGGAGCAGTACGTTGGTCATCTGCTGAAGGTTCTCATTCCTCCTCGGCTTTCTGGGCTTGTCCTGGTTCTTCAGCCCGGATGCAGCTTTCATTTCGCCAAACCGGCATTGGGCTGCCGTGGTGAGCATTCTTATGCCGAAGATTGGACCTTATGGCCTTTCCAACAACATCCGAGACAGTCGCTTCAAACTCTCAGAGCTCTACCCCCTGGCTCCAGCAAACGTGGAAGGGTTCCAGCACTTTCTGTAGATGCTCGTTCTTTGTGGGATAGATCTCCAGGAAAGGAAAACACGTGCTGTCGGCTTCAAAGTTACCTTGCAGGCAATAAAGGCGAAATCTGGCCACTAGGGAGTTTGCAACCATCTGTTCCCACGGCACTCCTCTGGCAAGGGGACCTCGGACCGAACTCTTAACCAACTTCAAGGGATCTGGCAACAGACTCTTCAGATCGATGTTCCAGCCTTCAAGGTGACTTTCCAGCTTGGCGGAGACAGCGGCATCCCGACACCAGATGCGTGGGACCAGTACCGACTTCTCAGCAGGAAATGCTGCTCCTGCATGGAAGATGTCGGACCAAGAAAGTCATGACTTACGGACATTTTTTCAAAGCTTCCCGCGCAGACGGCATGCTTCTGCACAGGCACGCTGGACTTGATGCGTGATGCTCCTTCATCAGAGTACGCACGCCTTTATGTCCATAGCGTGCCAGCACTGGCGCCATTGTCTCGAGACTCTGCTGCCTCGGCCATGAAACGGTGGAACGAAACGATTTATGACGACCCTACGTTCAACCAGATAATGCTCTCCTCTTGCGGAGTTCCTCGACATCTGCAATTTGCGTTCCAGGTAGACGGGGAGTTGGCAAGGTCAAGCACAGAAATTGCATTGAATGAGATTTCGAGGTGTTTCGAGGAGTCGTACAAGTCTACAGCACCTTTGTTTAGTGAAGACGCTCAGACCGCTTTGGCAATCGTTCTCTGCTCAGCCGTTCGATGGACCGCAACTGGAAGCCGCCAGTTTGATAGAGTGCCTGGAACAAACACTCCTTGCTCCCCCGTTCTGTTGTCCCCTGTTTCCTGTCTCAAGGTTTGCAAGGAGTTCTGCTTGATCCAAGAAGACAAGACGAGGGCAGCTGTTCTTCGCCGCGAAGGCCTTTTCCGTGAGAACGAGCCACTGGTCGAGGACGCGGTCCTTGCTCTTGCAGAAGGCCGCAATCCACCACCCAACGCTGCCGTCCGGGGGTGGCGTCAATGTGCTCTGTTCGAGAAGCCTCAACACGGTACCCATGTCCAAGCTCTCGAAGGCAACGCTGTTCCCTTGGCCAACTTCCACAGCGTAGCCGTCGAAGATTTGCAAAAGATGCCAAATGATGATGGCGGAAACCAGTGTATCAGCATTTTGTGCATGCTGTGAAAACGTTCCCGCGTCTATCACCAGCAGCCGCCCACATCTGCGGCTCTCGGCATACTGATCCAACTGCGCCACATGTCGAACGAGCGAAGTCTTGCCCGTGCCCTAGGGCTCCAAAGAGCCACGAGCCTGGGCTTATCCACCTTCCGGCTTTGGGTTCTGGTCAGCTCTGCCAGAACCCTCTTCACGATTGTCTCCCGCTCCAAGAACGGACGATTCTCTTTGTTGTTGATGCGTCCATTCAAGAAGCGTTCGTCAAGATCGGGAAGCTCGTCGCTAAAGTCCTTCAGAAGAGTAGATCCTGCATGCACACAAACACCAAAAACAAACGCAGCCTGATTGCCACTCAGCAGTGCCACCTCCAAGAAGCTGGAAAACCCCTTGCTAAAGGACGTGACTACTCCCAACGTCCGCCTAGCCTCGCCGAAGACCTCAATCTAAAATTGCATGGACAACCGCCTTGTTGCCCGCTGCGGTCGTCAATGCCTCGATAGGGCTGGCCGGAGCTGTCGCTTCGTATTGAGTGAGCATGAACACAGAAAAAAATGTGTTTGGTCAGATCGCCGCAAACTGAGCACAAGCAAACTCTGAACAACAGCCCGCACAGCTGGAGGTCTACAGTTATGCCCTTGGAAGTGAAGGCCCTTCGCGACCCCAACAAATCACGAAAGACAACAACAACGACGATACTGCGACAGCAGGGTGGCCAAGCACACAAACACAGATATAGTAACCTGAGCCTCATGCGCGTGAACCTGAAGCAGCCAAGAGCCCTCTGCTCAGAAAGCCCCTCCCGCTCCCCCCGAACTGCTGGAAGCCAACACAGGTGGAGACAGCTTAACCGCAAGGAGATCTTGAGAGGAAAGCGGCACCCCAAAAAGCAACAACGGTGGACCGCACGAAAAACCCACGACGACCAAGAGCCCCGGACATGCAGGAGTGCTAGGCAATATGCCCACGCAGAAGCCCCCCGGCCTGCACTCGTCTTGCCGAACCCCACCGCTCGGCAAGGTCCGCGTGCTACTAAGAGCCCTTCCGGGCCACCAGATTTGCGTGAAGCCAAGAGCCCTCTGCTCCGAAAGCCCTTCCCGCTCCCCGAAGTGCTGCAAGCCAACACAGTGAAGCTTAACGACGAGGGAATCCGTGCTGAGAGGAGAGCATGACCACAAAAAGCAACAACGGTGGACCGCACGAAATGCACTCCACCTTGGCGCCGGCCTCGGCCGTCGGCAAGGACACGGCAGCGATGCGTTCGGCCAGGACTTTGCGCGGCCCCATGCGAATGTTCATGTCTTGCATGTCGTTCAAAGTCAACCTCAAAAGCGCCTTGCCCATGATTTCCTCGCTGTTGAGAATATTTGTAAAATTCTGTACCGTCTCCTTGCCGCAGTTCGCCTCTTCCAAGACCGCTCTGGCCCAATAACCGACCTTCTCATCCACACTGACTTGAGGCACTTTTGCAAAAGAGACATCGCAAGCCGCACCTCCTCAGACGTAAACAAGTCGATCTCGCCAGCTGTCTTTTAGCCACTCGGCCTGCAGCAAGCGGCACAAATGCTAGTGTCAGCGAGCCTTCGCAGAGCCCGCCTGATCGAAGTTTGCTTTGGCCTGCAGGAGCCACACATAACTACGAAGCCCTCACCAGCAAGAACATGCTCCTTGAAAGTGCCTCGGTCGTCGCCTCTGCCACGTCATCCTTTGCTGAGGGGGCCTCCCAACATGGACTGATCCCGAGAAGACCTACCTGTGCTGCTGGCAGGACCGTTTCATGCAAGCATGAGACCATCGCAATCAAGCCCTCAAGCTCCTCGAGATTCATCTGATGCTCCCGCCGAGCAGCTTTCGATGCGAAATCCGAACACACGCCAGGACAAACCACTCCCGCCTTGCTTTCGTTGTCCCGTGGTCAGAGACACACTCGGGCAGGAGCGAAGGAAACACCATCAGAACAGCACAAGGCACGCCACGCCGAAACGACAAACCCTTGTCGCCTTGACGTCTTCATTGTCTTCGGCCTCACCACCATCCAAAGTGCTATCAGCCTCAGCTCTGCAGGACATAAGCCTAACACTGCATTTCCTCTCGGTCTCGGCTCCCCGCCTTGGCCCTGCGTGCGAGCAAGTTGTGTGCCCATATTGCCGGAGGAACCGACCTCGCTCTGGCTTGCGCATCTTCCGCACATCACATCCCACCTTGGAAACGGTACGGCACCCGCTCCAAGCAAAGCCCGCGCCGTCTGCGTTGCTCGCCTGAGGCTGCTCGGGGAACCCTCTAACACTGTTCAAGGCGCTGGTCTTAGGCTCTGGCAACACGCCAGGAACAGAGGCCTGCTCATGGCGGCAGTCGTCTTAGCCTAGCTGTCCTCTGGCTCGAGCAAAAGCACTGCAATCTGCATGAACGAATGGTCGAGCTCTACCTGTTTCAGTTTGAGTGCTGGTTCATCCCTCCAGCTGGCTTTTGGGCTTGGGTTTAGAGCTTCAGCTTCTGGGTTGAGGATATCGGGGTCACGGGGACGGGGGTTCAAGGGTCACGGCAAACTCAAGGAAACCCCCAACCGCCCAGGTGAAACCCCAACCGCCCCGCCAGGACCGCAGGTGAAGCCCCAACCGCTCCATGTGAAACCCCAACCGCCCCGTCAGGACCCCATGTGAAACCCCAAACCGCCCCGTCAGGATCCCAGGTGAAACCCCAAACCGCCCCGTCAGGAGCCCAGGTGAAACCCCCCAACCAAGCCCAGGTGAAACCCCAACCGCCCCACCAGGAGCCCAGGTGAAACCCCAACCGCCCCGCCAGGAGTCCAGGTGAAACCACCCAACTTCCCGCCAGGTGAACTGCCCGCCAGGAGCCCAGGTGAAACCCCCCAAGTGCCCGCCAGGAGCCCAGGTGAAACCCCCCAACTGCCCGCCAGGAGCCAGATGAACTGCCCGCCAGGAGCCCAGGTGAAACCCCCCAAGTGCCCGCCAGGAGCCCAGGTGAAACCCCCCACAGCCCACCAAGAGCCCAAGTGAAACCCCCCAGCTGCCCACCAGCAGCCCAGGTGAAACCCCCCAGCAGCCCAGGTGAAACCCCCCAGCTGCCCGACACGTACCCTCGCGCCCCGATTCCGGGTTTCACCTGCCCTCCCGCGCCCCCCTCCCCGGTTTCACCTGCCCTCCCGCGGCCCCCTTCCTGGGTTTCACCTGCCCTCCCGCGGCCCCCTTCCTGGGTTTCACCTGCCCTCCTGTGCCCCCTTCCTGGGTTTCACCTGCTCTCCTGCGCCCCCCTTCCTGGGTTTCACCTGCCCTCCTGCGCCCCGATTCCGGGTTTTGCTATCCCGCGCCCCGATTCCGGGTTTCACCTGCCCTCCTGCGCCCCGATTCCGGGTTTCAGTGTGTAGTATAGGGAGGGTTTATGAACCGATTAACTTTTTCCGGTCACTACGGTCACTACAGCGGTCACTACGGTCACTATGGATTTAATGAAATCAAATTACGTTTTTTTTGCGGTCACCACGGTCACTACGGGCACTATGGTCACAATGCGGTCACTGCGGTCACATCTTGACTTCCGAACTGCCGGAAGGTACCAATCATCGGTTCGCCCACGCTCTATTCATGCTTCCCTTTTAGCAGTTACTTCCTCACTGTCTGGTTTTCCCGCTAGTACTAATGCCTTGGGAAGTTAACGTACCGCCGTTCTAGTTTCCTGGCTCATTAGTTCTCCTTTTCATGGTACCTTTCCGGCAGTTCACGCTTCATAATCCTTGTCGCAAAAAGATCTTGCTTGAGACAGTGACAGAATCATGGCAGGAACGCCCACGGAGGAAGACGCTGCCATACGCAATCGCACTGAAGAACAACATACCCAAACCACATGTGCATATCAAGTCAAACCTTCACAAGGGAATCATAGGGCACAGTTGAGGATCCAATGGTTGAAAAACAGCGTTGCATGCTGCTGTCGTGCGAGAAGATTTGGCGGAATTGTTTTCGAGTGATATGGTCTTATGCGCGTGCGAACCGCAGAACCGCCAACCGTCACGAACAAGTCGCAGCAAGTCGCATATCACTATGTCCACAGCCCAAGAGACACTGCAGAAGAAGGAGAATCAAGACTCGATTGATTCAGGGAACTCCAACTCGCGACTGCTTTTGTTGCACAGACGGCATGCATCACAAGTAGCCCAGTTCGCGCATCTTCTCATCTTCCTCGCCTACCATCTTGAAAATGTAGAAGCGGTGTTTCAGCGCAATTGCATCGGCACGAAGCCTCTTGAGCAGTCGCTCCCTTGGAGCCAGCTTGAGCAGCTCCCTCTCTAGCTCAATCTCGGCTGCGTTCTTGGTCATGTAGCCTTTCGGTGTTTCCGCCACCGTCCTGAGGAATGCCTCATACTTCGAGGGAAAGAGCCATGGGGGAAAGAACCATGACAGTCCAGCCAGCTCCTTGGGCGCAGTAGTTTCCTTGAGCGCAGTGTCGAGCGGCGCTACTGCATTTCTGTATCTCTGACCCACTATCTGCTCAAACTCCACAGTTTCCCTCAAGGCGGCCCGGAGCATGTCTTGCAACAAGCGGAAGCTGCCACCAAAGCGGCAGTAGAAGTACTCCAGCCCTGACTTCCATCGCGACTCATCCTCTCCAAGGACCTGCTGGAGCAACTTGTGGTATTCGTCCGTGGCAACCTTCTGGAACTGCTGGAACGGGAGCCCATCTACAATCAGCATGTCTGACATATTGTACTTCGCAGGCATCAGGTCTGCAACCGCGGAGATGCTCACCTCTATGATGAACTTCGCTCTTGGAAAGTCGTAGGTCAACCTTCTTGCCAAGGCTCCAACACGGGAGGCGATGTCATCACACTCGTTGGCTGAGAAGGCATCTGCTCGGTTCCTGGTCGTGAGCGCCAAGTAGAGGATGACAGGTCCTCCTGTTGCTCTTCTGCAGTCCTCGTCCAAGATCTCCAGGAGGTCCTCAGGTAAACAGGAAAAGTTCGGAGGCAGCTCCAAGACCTTTAGTCGCGCGCGGAGCCTAGCAGTGAGATCAAAGTCCTTGCCAGGTTCTACATCTTGCTGGAGAGGTATGATCCATCTGCCGTCCTCAGCGTACTGCCCGAGTACAGACTGAATGAGTGTTGTCTTTCCAACACCTTGCGGGCCACTGACAAGCAAGAAGGAGGGAGATTGCTTCTCTTTGGGCCCTTCCATGTCCAAGAACTCCCGGAGCATTCGCTCTGCTTGTGGCCTCTCCTCTGCTTGGTTGGCGTAAACCTTGTACGCCTTGCTCAACTTCTTTGCGGCACTCCTCATGAACTTCCGAGGGGCCCTCCGGATGTTGGCCCTCGTGGCGATGTCATTCACCACAACGGTGATGGCGCTACCAATTAGTAAAGGGAGCCAATTTGCTACCACCCTCAGACGCAACGCTGCGGCAATCTCTGGCAAGGAGTGGCGCGTGAGCTTGCTCTGGAGGACCCTCCTGTATCTGTCCCCAGGTGCTCTAGTTCCGGCACAGAGATGCTGGCTCAGCCCCTTTCGAAGGATCACCGACGAACCATGCACAAGTGGGGTCATGCACAAGTGCCCAGGAATCATGCTGAGGAATGCCCAGTATCAAGTCAACACTGGACTACTCCTATGCTAAGTTTTGCTTGAGGTTGTACTGCGAGGGCAAAGTATGTTAGCAACACAAAAGTGCAGGAATGAGTGTCACATATTGTGCTGTCGACTCAAGGCATTGCAGTTGGCTGCTATCTTCATGAGTGTTCATCATATGACATTGCACACTTTTGTGGCAACAAGTAATTGTGCAACAAGTGCTTACCTTGTCCACGAAGAGACTCAAAGCATTGCTAAACTCAACTGCTTCTCCAAGCAATGTTCTGGCTTTGAGCATGTGACGCTGGGCAGAATACTCAAAAAACAGACGTGAAGAAATTGCGCGACCAAGCGAATATTTATTGACAAGGAACGTGTGACGCGTGCTATTAATATTAGAGTGTGAACGTAACGGGAAAAAGGATGTGACGTTCATGAATCTCTTTTCTCTCTTCTCTTTTCCTTCATTTCGCTCACTATTGTATTATTATTACACGTGAACGCATGAATAATCATAAATATAGTGCGCATGAAATGAACAAGGAGAAGATGGGAAGAGAGAAAGGGGAAGTGAAATGAATTAAATGAACGAATTTCATGCGTCATTTAATTCCTTATAAATTCGTCCATAAATTCACTCACTTCTTTCTATCCTATTTTAATGCTAATATTGCGGCCTAATTCAAATATTCGTGAAGGCCGCCCCAAAATACTATTATTATTGTGCAAATTTAGTGTGTGAACGACGCGTGAATGCGTGAATTCATTGCGTTCATTTCATTCGCTTCAATCATTTGCTTATTCACTTCGTTCACTACAAAATAGTCTTATTGCGGGCGAAATAAAGCGCACGCATGCGTGAATTTATCGTGCGAACGAAATGCCCGTAAAAAAATACTATAGGTGAACGAACAAGGAGCCAAAAGAGAGGAAAGAACAGAGCAATAGAAAAAAAATTGTAAATGCATTCGTTTCGCTTTCTTCCTGTCATCAGTCTGTTCACTTCGTTCATTCAATCACTCATGTGTTCATTCGTTTCACTTCTTTCACACATTCGTTTATTGTATTCACTTTGTTCACACGTTACGTTCATAATCTAATTATTAAAATTCACGCTTTGTTCGTTAACTCACTGCATTGTAATTGTAAAATCACTCACTCACTTTTCTCATCCTTGTATGCGCTCCAAGACTCCTTAAAAAGCCTTATAATATTCGTTCACGCCTTTTCCAGGAGCTAGACCGCTATCATCCTATTCATGTGCCCAACCTTAGGATTTAGTACTGACTTCCCAGCTCACGGCAACCCAACATAGAAACCGTCATTCATCTCTCACTCTTGTTCCACAGCCTTGTTCACCCATCACACCTTCCCAAGAAACCCACCTTTGTCACCCGTCCAGAGAACAAGACGTACAGGAAACTAGACCCGCGGGAAGTGAATGTCTCGAATCCGGACGCAGTGGAAGCACAAGCAACCTTGTGGACTGGCGCGAATGCCATCCCGAGAACCCATGGATAAGACTTGCAGATGGTCATAGTCAGAAGGAAAGTTCTTCCCTGGTGGAAGCATGACGGATGAGCAGGTTATGTGCTAGGAGTCAGCAGTTTGCAAGATGAGCTCTGGGTCAGCCCTGTCTGTGATGCTCCGCCGTTGGACCACGATGAGCCGGTGTGCGTAGAAAGGTCTGGTCCTGGGCGTAGAGCTGCACGCCAGCACAGGAGGCGGACTTCGCCCGAGCTGCGCTCCTCTAATCTTTGCGTTGCTACTCTTTTTTCTGACTTATCAGGCATGCAGCCTTCCTTCACAACCACTATCAGCTAAAGTACACCCTCGCCAGTGAATCACAGAAAGACCATACAAGGGCCAGCCGGGGCAAATACACTGTACACGCACGCACCGGCTCCAGACGGCTGGAAGCCAAGTTCTCTGTTGGAGGAAGTATGCTTGGACAGTGCGTCAGAACGTGTCAGGAGAGATGGCTTACCTATGATGCCGTTGGCGAGCAACGGCGAGGCAATCTGTAATTATGGAAACCTCGGACGAGAAGCTCGAGGAGCTGCAGCAACTCTTCGACGCCCGTGGTACCCAAAGTGGGAGCGAACAGCCAGAAGCGCCAGGTGCTGTGCGGCAAGCTCATAGGGAGGTGGGAGCTCGTGACATTAGATTACAACCGCATCTGCTGCGTCCTGTGGAAAGTGGGCAAGAGGGACCACTTACCAGACTGCTGCCGAGACCGCTCTGTTCTATCGGGCAGTTCGAGACAAGTCCGAACTTGTGGCTCCGAGTCGTTGACGTTAAAGTCCATCAAGTCAGCCGATCGTTGGGCCCTCAGTCAACTCTTGCCCAAGCGGGGCTTGGGGGCCAAAATCTAGCCACGTCGACCGGCAAAGCTCGACATCGGTCATGCAGTCGGGAGATCCCGAAGCTGTGGAGAAGGAAACCATTATGTTGTGTCCACGGATCAAGGTTGAATTCAATGGCCTGGAAGGGGGCACTGCCGGACCCCTAGAGTGAAGAACCCATTGGAACGCTCTGGCAGTCGATAGAACCATAAAACGGAACCAAGCCAGCCGTGACAAATCAACCTACCGCCTGCAACTTTTTTTTTCAACATTCGATTGCTGAAACCTGCATGAGACATTCCAAACTCAAGTTTCTGCAGAAACTCAGTCCACCACAGTCTCTCTAAATCAGACGGACTCGACCCAATCACTCGAAGAAACTCCAGACCCCACAGCCCATTACGGGCACTTTGACCGCGTTCTGGAAGCTTTGCCGAAAATCAAGAAGGAAGAACTTGCCTCAACAACAAAACAGCCAGTCTACCACAACAGAGAACGCAGTTTTTGAAACACAGACACAAGAAAGAGAGTGCCGCAATGGCCACATGTGACCCACATGTGGCTCGACTTTGAAAATCGGAAATACTGATTGTCGTGCCTGTTCAGTCACACATACTTCTTTTATGGCGGATGCTTTCGACATGCAAGAAGCGTTGCCTCCAAAAGCATACAGTCCCAGGGTGCAGTAAATGTCATATGATCCCGAGCCAATGCGTCGTTGGGCGTCCGCAATGCTTCAATTGTGGTGACCAACAATCCAGCAGGCTCACCAGATTTTGCTCAGAAGGATTTTGCATGACAGCTTCACAGGCAGCTGACAGGGCACAGATGAGGCATGAAGCTTCGTCCCGCATTGGTTGGAGCCCGGAAGGCCCCCATCTCCAGTCTCTCTTGCCTGAGCTGCTTGTTGTGCTAGAACTTTTGGGCATTGTCCTGGTACAATCGGAACATGGTGGATTTTTGGTGTTCCACATGTACGGCCTCGTGGGACCAAGATTGCGTCAGGTCGGTGCTCGCTCCAGTTGCCTCCATGCCGGGCCACGTCGTGGCCAGGTTCCGTTTTCAAGGTTTGGATGGCTCTATCTACCACTGCCAGAGCGTTCCGATCCGAGGGGTCCTTCACTCTGTGCACCACGGGGTCCGGCAGCGCCCCCTCCAGGCCATTGAATTCCACCCCTTGATCCGTGAACACAACGTGATTGGTCGTCTTTCCGGAAGCAGACGGAGCACACAAAAAAATCGCGTTGGCGGGTTGCAGACCACGGAGTCAGACGGTTTGCTTGACGGTGTACTCAGGCCTCTTGAACAGACGAACCTTCCCCATTTACCTCAAGCGTCGCGCTCTTGCGGCAGGGGTCTTGGAAGGGCGTCCAGGGCAGGTTGTACTAGATGGCTGTGGGCTTCTTGTAGCGGAAACCCAGTACGTCACCTTGTCCCAGTGGAGCTCCTGCATGTAGTGTCGGGTCTTCAGGCGCCCGGTGCTCGGGTTTCGATGGCCCACCACCGAGGCTTGAGGTAGTCTATGACCTCCAGAGTCTGCACTAGGGCATCTCCGAGCGGCCGGGGGCGCTTCTTGAGTGCGATGCTGAACTCGGTGCAGTAGGGCGAGGCCCACGCTGCGTCGAAGTGCGCAGATGGTTGAGCTGGCTTTTGGGTTGCTGTCTCTCGAGGCAGTGGAGCACAGGATCCTCCGCGATTTTCCAGGTATCAATGTTGCACATGCACTCCGCCTCAATTCGGGGGACCGATACTGGCCTTCGAGGCCCTTGACCTTCTCGCATCGGTACACTGGCTGCCGTCGGAGTGCCTTTCGCGGACCAGGCTGTCCACAAGGCCTTGGAACTTTTTGGGCAGGTCCTGGAAGACGACGCAGTCCGTTTTGACGGCCTTCAGGTACCTCGAGGGCACGGTTGCGAGACTCCGAGGCCATCACGAAGTCGTGCACAGGTGTAGATGAGGTTCATGTTGCGTGCCCAGAGCCCAATGAGGGCATTCACCGACAGCTTCGCGTAGTGCTCCTCTCCCTCCGGCCAAGCCGCCTCCATTTTCTGCAGGGCCTGAGCCACGGACTCCTGGTCCACGTGCGCCGTGGCGTCCAGGCTGTACACGAAGTCGCTCCACGTCGCAAGGCCGCTTGGCGTACCAGCCCTGGCCGACGTAGGGGAGCTGCTTGAACGCCGCCCAACGCCCGTCCTCCCGGAGCGTCACGTAGGTCAGGTCCGCCAGGTGCCCTTCGCGGGCTTGCTCAACGTTGTCCTTGGGGCAGAAGATGGGCGCCGGGAACTTGGCATGGGCCAGACCGTTCTTGCGGCACCGCACCACGTCTATACCGTGGCAGATGTGGTCCGGCTTGTGGCTGTTGAGCTTGAAGACGAGCGGCGGGAGTCGAGGCGATTCCACGTACTGCTGCTCGTAAGCCCGCCGGCTGAAGCGCGACTCCAGTGTCGTGGCGTGCGAGGACTCCAGGGCCGTTTTGTTCCGGTGGCACTCGAGGCACAGTGCCTGGAGGTTCTGGGCCTGTGCGGCGAAGGACTGGTGCACGGGGACGATGTGGTCCAACTCGCACGTGGTTGCGGTGATGGGGGCCGCGCAGAGCTTGCACTGGTGGTCCTGCTCCGCGAGCAGGGGGCGGATCGCGGCGGGCCTTGAGAAGGTGAAGGAAGACCTCGCTCGCGGCGCCCGCAAGACGCTGCCCGCAATAGGGAAGCCCCAGCCGCCCCATCCAGGCCTGCAGCACTCGTGGAAGGCGGAGATGACGCAGTCCTCGCCGCCCCGCACCCTCAGCCGCAGGCACCGCCACTCGCTCATGCTTCGCATGACCACCTTCGGGCAGTGCCCCTCGGCCAGGAGCTCCCTCCGGACCTGCTCCAGGTCTTCAGTGTAGAAATGACCGCTGGCGACCTCGCCCTCCCACTCCCGCCAATCCTTGAACTCGGGCGTTTCGCCTGGCTTCCTCTCGCCCCGGTACCTGGCCCGCTCCCCGATCGGCTCGCACTTCGCGACGGTGCGGGCGGATTTGTAGAAGAAGGCGTGGCCGTTCCAGCTCGTGAAGGCCACGGCCCGCTGCTCCTTGACGGTAGGCTCGTACTTGTCCAGCAGGCGGCCCTGGCAGTCCACGTAGAACATCGGGGCCTGGCGCCAAAGGCAGAATTCCCGGATCTCTCGGGGGGTGATGCCCTGCTCCCGCCACGTTTTTTTGGTGCAGATTGCGTCGAAGTCCGAAAGCACCTCCTGCAGCGGCAGCCGCATCAGCTCCGCGAGCTGCCGAGGGACGCAAAGCTTGTCCGGCCGCTGTTCGAAGGCGGACTCTAGGATTTCGTCGCCGCAGTACAGCTGGTAGGAGACGTCCCGCAGAGCCCCCAGGGGCTGATCCAGGACGGTCTCCACCACCACCCGGTCGTCTACGACCTGCATGGCCTGCTGGCTGAAGGTCCACTCCCTCGTTGCGTCCAGGTAGTAGGTCTCGTCGGACAGCTCCCAAATAATGTCGTTCGGCTCGGGGTTCCCAGCTGCGCGAGCGCGGACGCCTTGAGGTTCCGGGCCGCTTCCGAGAGCCCCTCGCTCTGCCGGGGCAGAGTGACGTTGAGGTCCGTGACGGGCAGGCGCTTCGTGCGCTCGTAGGGCATGCCGCGGTTCCGGCCGTTTCGCCGGATGCCGCGGATGATGACGGGCACGTGCACCACCCAGTCCACCCACTTGTCCTTGAAGAAGCTCTTCCCGAGCTTGGTCAAGTGGTAGTTCCCGTTGGGCTGGAGGCTGCGGAGCAGCTTTTTGGCGCCCCCCCGGAGCATGATGTAATCGTTCGGGCCCTCGCGGATGAGGGGTTGGTTGCGGTCGTACTGCCGGCTGGGGGGCGGCCGGTCGATCAGTTGGTAGTAGTACTGGCCGGCCCTCGTGAGCTCGCCGTTCGGGCGGCTGAGCATCGCGTAGCGGAGGTGGTGGTGTGCCAAAGGAAGGGTTTCTGAGCCTGCCGCCGAGGTCCTCGCCCTGACCCCGGCCTCGGCTGCAATTCTAATCGCTTCTCGTTGTTGAGCCCAGCTCATGACTTTTGAAAACCCCGGCCGGAAAAAAGGTCGTCGCCCGAGCGGGCCCCCCTTCGCCGGTCGAGTTTTTTCCGGGCACTTGGTTCAAAAGCATGGACCGGTATCTCGTGAACCCCCGGCCCCAGCCCAAGAATTTCATGGAAGAGGTGATCTCGACCTGGCACGACGACGCCCCGCTCGAGCGCAAGAACTTCCATGGACGGGCCTCGGAGGCCGCGCAACAGCTTGGGATAACCGAGAGGGCGGCGAGCCTGATGATCGTGGCCTTCATGGCGTTGCCGTCACGTCCCAACCGTCCCCCGCCCAGACCGCAGCCCAGCAGACTCACTGCGACCGAGGAGAGTTTGACCATAGACCCACTAATCGACTGGCTGTTCCCGGATTCGGGCACCGCGGTAGTAGGGATAATCCCCGATCTCTTTCTGTGCAGCCGGGGCACTTTGCTCTGCCTGCAAAACTTTTGCGATCGCCGACGCGACCGCCAAGCGACGCGCAGCCGGCAACAGAGGGAAGCAGCCCTCCAAAGTTTGAGGCTCCGCCTGGGCCACAAGGTCACGGACCTGGTGCTTGAATACATGAAGCCCCTGCGCGAAGGAGGCAAGCGACGGGTCTTGTGCCGTTTGGCCAGAATCGCAAACATGACCGAACACGAGCAGTGTGAAAAAATCACGAGGGCTTTCAGTGACGCATGGCAGCGGCCTAGAAACTCGTCACTGCTCCAGGGCGAGCAGGCCTAAAAAAAAAATCACTGCTCTAGGGCGAGCAGGCTGCCTTAAACTCCCCTAAACCCAAAGCGTTGGCATTTTGGTTTTGCATGTTCTTGCTGGATTTTCGCATGATTTTGGCATGACTTTGCTTGATTTTCGCATAATTTTGTGGCATTTTTTTGGGTTTTTTTCTACGCATTTTTTGCTAGAGTGCTTGGGCCGCGCTCGCTCCTCGAAGCGCCAGCAATAGACAACATACCGTGCTCGTCCTAATCATATGCCAACTAGAGACCTTCTGTCAGCACCTTGTGAGAAATCAAAAAGTCTTTGGGTTCCGAGGGAGTATGGTCGCAACAGCAGCAGGCAACAACACACAGAGTGAGGTAGTGTGACGCCGGGGCCACAGATGTTTCAGGGTTTAGGGTTTAGGTTGGCAGGCAAGGGGCTGTGAGGCAGTGAGGTCTGGAAGTGCTAAGGTTTCAGGGTTTAGGTTGGAAGGCAAGGGATTCTTAGGCCGCGAGGTCTAGTCCGAGTGTGCTCACGAGTGCCCTGCGCTGCACCCTCCCCCTCCCCCCCACCCAGTGCCCTGCGTCTCCCTCGCCTCTCCCGGGAACCCCAAACCCTTTTGTTGCCCAGGTTTGGCCCCTCTCTTCGTCTTCAGCCGGGCTCCGCAGAGGCTTCAGGGTCGGTAGGGTTTCGGGTTGCAGGCTTGTGGGCTCCGAGGCAGTGAGGTTGAGTTCGTTTGTGCTCAGGAGTGCCTTGCGTGCTGTCTGCCCTTCCTCCCCTTCCCCCAGAGTGCCCCACGCCTCCCTCCCCCTTCCCGGGAGCCCCGGGCCCCTCCCTTGTGGCCAGGTGCTCACCCTCGCCGTCTTCGCCATCTTCGAGATCTTGAGGCGCAGGCAGGGGTTTAGGGAAGAGCTTTGCAGAGGTGGAGGGCGTGACCGCGTGACCTCTTGAGTCGGGGCCCGGGCAGGCCGAAAGGGTGCTCCAAGCCCTGCCTGAGCGAACTCAACGCACCCGCTTCGAGACAGAAAATGTTGAGCCCAAGGTCGGCCTGCGTGATGGCCCGAACCAGAGCAGAGTGATGCGCGAGACTCTTGCCGGCTAGATGCATTGGCATCTTCTCGAGGTCGTTTTTCACCTGTTCTGGTAAATCTCCCCACGGGGTCGCAGGGCTCGTTGAGCTCTTCCGCTTCTTTGAGGGCTCCTGCTTAGGGCGCTCCAGAACTCCTGAGAACGGGAGGCCTCGAAGGCCCGGCGGTGCGGAACACATAAATCCAGTCACGCAAACTTTGCCTATCTGAAACTCATTCAATGCTCCGGTGCGCTCTGCCACAGACGCAAGTTCATCAAAGACATGGGGGATGGAGCGAACCGCCTCTTTGTTCAAGAACTCGACGATGCTCTTCCAGTTTGTCGTCTCCCAAAGGTGCTGGTACTCCGGCATGTCTTTCATCCACCGGATGTCCGCCCTCTCGGAACTCCAGGGCAGCACCCCAGAATCATTCACGAAACTTTGAGACCTCGCGGCTTGGAGCCACGATGATGCAGCGGCCTGTGGAACTGGACTAGTAGACTCGCTCGAAGAATCCGACAAAAGGTTGCCAGGACTACCCAAACTCTTGAAGCACGCCGCACACCTCTTGGCGTCTGGCGCAGGACGATCAACCACCTTGAAATTTTCGTCGTCCACCGAGGAACCGTTGCATGTCAAACGCTCGCCTTTGGCCAGGTGGAGCAAGCCCGACCTCACGCTTGCCACGACAACGCCTTCCATTTCTGCGAGAATCACCCTTTTGAGTTGCAAAAAGCTTCACCGAGTCAAGCGTCTGCGAAATCGCCCTAGACTCTAGTTTGCAACCAACTGCATTGCAAATGTGGCCAGGTGTACACAGGCAGCTGCAAGATGCCTCCGTCAGGTCGTTCCAAGGATCAGGCCTTGCGGCGACGCGGCTCCCCCCAAGGCCCGTGAAACCTGAAACCCTGGCCCCCCGAAGGCGCGTGAAATGTGAAACCCTGGCCCCCCGAAGGCGCGTGAAACGTGAAACCCTGGCCTGGGCCCCTCCCCCCCCGAAGGCGCGTGAAATGTGAAACCCTGGCCCCCCGAAGGCGCGTGAAACGTGAAACCCTGGCCCCCCGAAGGCGCGTGAAACGTGAAACCCTGGCCCCCCGAAGGCGCGTGAAACGTGAAACCCTGGCCCCCCGAAGACGCGTGAAATGTGAAAACCTGGCCCCCCCGAAGGCCCGTGAAAAAACGTGTGGAAGGCCTGGTAACTTTCCTTTCAGGCTTTCAGGGCAACATGTGCCTCCCAGAGGCTATTTGGCCCTTCCTTACAGGCCCCCTACACAATCTCTACTAGAGATCATTTACGGCCTTGTACAGGGAGGCCAATTGCTGGATTTCCTGAGATCCCTGCAGGAAAATCAGCAGCCGGGAGGCCCGCAGGGGCGTGGAATGTGAAACCCTGGTCCTGGCTGGGGAAGGCCCGTGGAATGTGAAACCCTGGCTCCCCGAAGGCCCCTTCCTGCCCCACCAAGAAGCCCCTCACTGCCCTCCTAAACCCTTTCACAGGACCCCTTAAAGGCTCTTCACTGTTCCACCAGACCCTTAGAAGCCCTTCACTGTCCTCCTAAACCCTTTCACAGGACCCCTTAAAGGCTCTTCACAGTCCCACCAAGACCCTTAGAAGCCCTTCACTGTCCTCCTAAACCCTTTCACAGGACCCCTTAAAGGCTCTTCACTGTCACCGGAACCCCCCCAGAAGCCTCACCAGAGACCCTCGCCCCCTTAAAGGCCCTTCACTGCCCTCTTAAACCACGTTTCACATTTCACGCCCCCGCGGGCCCCCCACGTTTCACATTTCACGCCCCCTGCGGGCCTCCCACGTTTCACATTTCACGCCCCTCTGCGGGCCCTCCACGTTTCACATTTCACGCCCCCCTGCGTGCGGGTCCCCGACGTTTCACATTTCACGCCCCCCTCTCGGCCCTCCCAGGGCCTCCCAAAATTCAACCATTTCACGCCCCCTGGGCCTCCCCCGAGCCTCCCAGAGTTCAACCATTTCACGCCCCCTGAGCCTCCCCGGGCCTCCCAGAGTTCAACCCGGGCCTCCCAGAGTTCAACTGTAGCTCTCATTTGCGATGGAGTGCAAGAATTGCTCACCCTTCTTCTTCCACGGATCCGCATAGGTGAGATAGAATGTCTTGCAGCAGCGAGCCAAGGTGCCCATGTCCTGTTCGATGCCGAGGTATGCGTCGATGTCGCGGACGGTTTTGGGCTCCAAAGCAAGGGCATGCGCAAGGCATGCGTCCAAAGCCTCGAGTGCACCCATCCTGCCTGGCTCAATCGGAGGTGGAACCGAAAAGGGGACTGCGGCAAGAACAAGGTTGCGAGCAGGCTCATCAAATCTGACGATGAACCTCCTAAGACACAAACTCCCAATCAGCACGCTGCAAAACGGGAATCAATGGGTGCACGTTGCTTACGTGGAAGGGTCAGCACGAGCCCAAAACTGCCTACACATGCCTACATCGTCGCACGAAACTGCAAACGTCACAGAGCTGCAAGGCCAGGGGCGAGCCTTGCCCCGGGATCTCGATGAAGGATCTCGATGATGCTGCGTGCGCCTGCCAGGTTGCCAGACCCAAATCCTTGTTCTACACCCTAAACACCAAGGAGGGCCGGCTCTCTGACCCGAGATCTTTCGGAGGATGGGCCCCCCCCCTTTGGGCAAAGGGGGGCTTAAGCCCCCCTTTAAGCCCCCCTTTAAGCCCCCCTTAAGCCCCCCTTCAAAGGGGTCCCTGCAAAGGGGGTCCCTTCGGGGGGGGGGGGGAAAGGGTGAAAGCCCTTAAGCCCCCCCTTAAGCCCCCCTTAAGCCCCCCCTTAAGCCCCCCCTTAAGCCCCCCCTTAAGCCCCCCCTTAAGCCCCCCCTTTAAGCCCCCCCCTTAAGCCCCCCCCTTAAGCCCCCCCTTAAAGCCCCCTTCAACCCCCCCTTTAAGCTCCCCTTTAAGCCCCCCTTTAAGCCCCCCTTTAAAGCCCCCCTTTAAACCCCCCTTTAAACCCCCCTTAGAGCCCCCTTGAAGGCCCCCCCGTTTTAAGGGGCCCCTGTAAGCCCCCCTTTAAAAAGCCCCCTTAGAGCCCCCTGAAGGCCCCCCGTTTTAAGGGGCTTAAAGCCCCCCCTTTAAGCCCCTTTTTTTAAGCCCCCTTAAAGCCCCCCCTAAAGTTCCCCCCTGAAGCCGCAACCAAGCCCCCCCCTCTGTGGAGGGTTTAGGCAGCAGTTTAAGAGGCCTAATACTTGCTGGGCCTTTGGGCAGCAAGTTAAGAGGCGTAATACTTGCTGGGCCTTCTGCGGAGGGTTTAGGCAGCAGTTTAAGAGGCCTAATATTTGCTGGGCCTTTTTTGGAGGGTTTGGGCAGCAGTTTAAAAGGCGTAATACTTGCTGGGCCTTCTGCGGAGGGTTTAGGCAGCAGTTTAAGAGGCCTGATACTTGCTGGGCCTTTTGTGGAGGGTTTGGGCAGCAGTTTAAAAAGCGTAATGGGTTCGGGCAGCAGTTTAAGACGTCTAAGAGGCTTAATACCTGCTGGGCCTTCGGTGGAGGATTTAGGCAGCAGTTTAAGAGGCCCAATGCGAGCATCGTGTTTGCAAATGGGGGGGGCTGAGCCCCCCCCAACCCCCCCGCTTGTTCAAGCCGGGCAAACGCGCGTGGAAGCATAGGAATCATGTCCAAAACAAAACAAAACAAAACATGGGGTTCTCGGCTTAGCCCCGCGCCATGTCACTGCTATGCAAATGGGGGGGGCTGCGCCCCCCCCAACCCCCCCGCTTTTTTTCTGCCGGGCAAGCTTGCGTGGAAGCATATGAATCATCTCTGAAACAAAACATGGGGTTCTCGGCTTAGCCCCGCGCCACGTCACTGCTATGAACTCTCTGCTCCTTGAAACTCGAGTAATGAACACAAAAAACAAAAGAAGAAGCGAGCGGGGTGGAATTGCCCTTAAGCTCCCCTTTAAAAAGAGTCTCACTTCTCTGGTTTCGAAGAATGAAACCCAAAAAACAAAACAAGATTCGAGGGGGGTGGAATTTAGAATACATTCCCTTCTTTCTTTTCGTAAAGGGAAATGAATGTTTAGAGTCTCACTTCTCTGGTTTCGAAGAATGAAATCCAAAAACAAGCACAAAATGTATAACAAGATTCGAGGGGGGTGGAATTTAGAATACATTCCCTTCTTTCGTTCCATCGTAAAGGGAAATGTATGTTTAGAGTCTCACTTCTCTGGTTTTGAATAATGAAATCCCAAAAAAACACAAAAACATAACAAGATTCGAGGGGGGTGGAATTTAGCATAAATTCCTTTCTCTCTCTTTTAGAGTCTCACTTTTCTAGTTTCGAAGAACGTAATCCAAAAAACAAAACAAGATTCGAGGGGGGTGGAATTTAGAATAAATCCCTTCTCTCTTATCTTCAAGATAAAGTAATGTTTAGAGTCGCCCTTAAGCCACTCTTTTTTCAGCCCCCTTAAGCCCTCCCCCTTAAGCCTCGCTAGCCCCCTTTTAAGCCCCCCTTTAAGCCCCCCCCTTTAAGCCCTTTAAGCCCCCTTCAACGCCCTTGAAGCCCCCCTTTCAGCCCCCTTTTTAAACCCCCCTTCCCCCCCGTTTAAGCCCTTTAAGCCCCCCTTTAAGCCCCCTTTAAGCCCCCCTTGAGCCTCCTTTAAGCCCCCCCTTAAGCCCCCCCTTAAGCCCCCTCTTTAAGCCCCCCTTAAGCCCCCCCCTTAAGCCCCCCCCTTAAAGCCCCCCCCTGAAAGCCCCCTTGAAGCCCCCCTTAAAGCCCCCCTTTAAGCCCCCTTTAGCCCCCCCCCTTTAAGCCCCCCCTTTACCCCCCTTCAAGCCCCCTTGAAGCCCCCTTTAAGCCCCCCTTTAAGCCCCCCCCCCTAAGCCCCCCCTTAAGCCCCCCCTTAAGCCCCCCCTTAAGCCCCCCCTTAAAGCCCCCCCTTAAGCCCCCCCTTAAGCCCCCCCTTAAGCCCCCCCCTTTAAGCCCCCTTTAAGCCCCCTTTAAAGCCCCTTCAAAGATCTTCTCCAAAGCCCCCCCCTTTGCCCCCCTTAAGCCCCCCTTTTAGCCCCCCCTTAAGCCCCCCCTTAAGCCCCCCTTTGAGCAAAGGTGATGGGCCCATCAAGATCTTTCGACGCCGCGCGCGGGTGCCTGTACACGAAGCCAATGCTTGTTGGCTTCACGGTCTCTGTTCGTTGCAGAACGGTGGCTGCAGCACCACGTACTTTGCAGACAGATTTGTGTCTTAAGCGACATGTAATCTGCCATCTGTAAGGTCTGTTGCGAGTTCATCCCAAAATTGCTGCTTCTCCTACAGACCTCCTCACAACCAGACTCCAGCTGGTCTGGCCAAAACTGCCGCAGTCTGGCGTGGCTGAACTCTCACATGGCGAGAAGCACGGTGGGAAGGAGCCGCGGCGTCTGTACGCTGTGTACAAAACGGCGTCTCAGCGCCAGCTTGCTGTGAAGCGCGCAGCCTCCAGGCCGTCGCAGGGTCGAATCCTGATCATTAAACGTAAAGCTCGGAAAGCTGCTCCAGTGTCAAGGTCAGCTCGTTCATAGCTTCCAGGCACACAATTTCACGACGAAGGCAGGGCCACTCGTAGGGCAGTGCCATGTCAAGATGTGCTGCACGGCTCATGTCCTTCCATATGGCTGTACGATGCTACCGGACTCCCGCCGCAGGCTTGTCTAGATGGGGTGCCTGCATGACTACCACTGCGAGGACTTGTATGGCAGCAATTGCACGTCCAAGGACCTCCTTGCCACACTCGCCCTCAAGTTCACCCCTTCTCTTCTCCAACCAAGCTTGAGAACGCAGATTGCGTGCCAACTCACATATAAAGCGAAGCACACACTAGAAATACGAATGTGATTGTTGCAATACGAATACCATGACACCTCAGCCACCTGGATAAGAAAAAAACACCCTAAACACTAAACCCTAAACCCTCATCAGCACATGGCAATCGCAAACCGTCACCCTCTGGATATTCAGATGCCAACTCAACGACTTCTATCTAGCAAACCGATATTGAAGGCTTAGAGGTTCTAAGCCCTCAAGGTAAGCCCTAAACCTGAAGGCCTTAAGCCTTTAGTCTTGAACGGGGCCCGCGACGGCTATGCAGTGTGCCTCAACGGCTCCTTCGCGACTGGTCGGAGTGATGGAAGTGGCGACGCGGCCACGCCCCAGGTCGCGGCGTGCAAAAAGAAGCGACTTGTCATTTTCAGTGAGCACCGCAACAGCTGCGAAGTACAACCCGTTCTCTGATTTCTGAACGCCATCTAATGAACATCCGTACAGCTTTCTTGGGCGGGCGCGGCGTTTAAAACGGTAGCCGCTGCCGTTTTTAACCGCTGCGTCTTTTTAATGGTCGCGGCGTTTAAAACGGCTGCCAACGTTTCGCAAATGTGCTGCCATCCAAGATGCATCATCTAATATTGGCTGTGGCATTTAAAGCGGCAATCTTGAAGTCTTTGAATCTATGCTTTTAAAGCATTTTGCTCAAAGTTTTGGCCTTTAGCCTCTTCTAGCTATGGCTCGGACAGCGCACACTGCGCGAGTCCGATCTCGAATCGGAAAGCGGAGAACACCTGGACAGAGGGCAGAAGACAGCGACGAAGACCAGCGTGGTGCGCCTGCTTTAAGCTCAGCTGCTCCCGTTGTTGTCGAAGACGTCGACGAAGAGCCTCAAGGTGAGCCTGCTTCTGGTTCTGCAGGTCCATCAATGGAGGTGGAGCAGGAGGAAGTGGAGTACACTGGACATCAACAAGTAAGTCCAACAAGAAAGCGAGGCCGACTACCTGTTCCTGGACGCACGAAACTCAAGGGCAGAACTTCTTTGGCTGAGATTCTTGCAGCTTCGCCAGTGGACATTGCACAGATTCTCATCCAGAAGGGCTTTTGCAGAGATTCTCCTACAGCTGGAACGTGTGGATGTGAGAGTCCAAAGTGGAAGTTGGAGCCTTGCGGTGGTGCCTACTGGCGCTGCAAAGCTTGCAGAAAGACCGTAGCTCTAACAGCTGTTGACTCAGACTTGTTTGGTGGCCAGAGACTTTCTCTTCAAGCCATTGCAGGAGCACTTTGGCTTTACACGTCAAAGCTTCACCTCTCACCAGACGACTGCAGCCTGCTTCTTGGAGTGGACCACAGAGCAGTTCGCAGCCTTTTCGAGGCCTTCAACCAGTACTTTGTGCCCATCATTGACCAGTTGAATGATGCCACAGCGCGGATGTGGAGTTGGACGAGATTTCCTTTCGATCTACTGGTCGATCGCACGGAATTGTCTGGCTCAGGTACTTAGCAGTTGCACGACGTGGCTCAAGTTTGGTCTGGTTGCAGCGTCTACCGCATCACTCGCAAAGGCCAAGGTGGAGGCGGCCCCATTTCTGTGGATGAAATGTGGTCGGCTCTGCTTTTGGAGTCTGACCAGCCAGTTCTGGCCAGGGGAAGCGTTTGCCACACCGATGGTGCCAAGGCGTATCGGTGGTTGTCGAGTCCTTTGAACGATGGGACTCTGGTGGACGCTGCTGGCTTGAAGCTTTCGCACACGTGTGTCAAGCACAAACCGCCCCACCCAGAGTTTTCCAAGAAAATGCGTGTCCAGGTGTGGGTGGGAGACCACTACGAAGAGCAGGCAAGAGTTGGAGGGACCCAGAAAATCGACGGGTTTTTCGCGAGTTTCCGACGTGTTGTTGGAAGACGCCCCTTAAACACTGTAGGCCCTTCCTCCGAAGAGAAGGCGCCCCGCATGGAGCAGCTCATGCATTTCCATGTGCGACTGTTCCAACTGAAGCATTGGTTTGGAGGGCAGGACATGTTTGCTGTTTTCGGAAAGCTTCGACAGTCTCAAAGAGACGTTGGAGCAGTGACTTGGGCATCCATGTCTGCCTTCAAACCGCCTTTCGTAAACCCGGAGCCTGCACAGCGCAATCCGGTAGTTGTTCGGGACGGAGTGCAAGTCCTCACCTTGGACTGAGTGCGAAAAACAGCTGTTGTTGACCGTGGGAAGGAGTAGGAGACACCTGAACCCTAACCCTAAAGCCTAAACCCGAAAGCCGCGGCGGCGCGCGCTTCGCGCGCGCCGTTAATTTCTTTTTAATTTAATTTTAGTCTACCGTGCGAAACGCCGCGCCCGGCTCTTCTTGCGGTCATGTTCTGAAACCCTATTCTCGATACCCCAACCAATCGCCCTGGAGCGCGACCAGAATTGGGAGGTGGCTATGTCCACTGTCGCCAAGTACTGTGGAGGTCATCTGACGTGTCCTGTGTTTTCTGTAATTTTTCGGACCCTGAAATGGATCCGTGTGACTGGCCACGTGGTGTTGCGTTTTCGAGCATGTCTGGAACGTGCAGGCCTCTGCCAGCCAATTTTTTGGTTGCATAGCAGTCCACCTGCGTTCCAGTGCGCAACATGCAGATTGTGCGCCAGTGTGGCGTCCGAGTGCAATTTGCAGTTGGTAAGGGTGGAATCAGGCTGATAAAGAACATTCTTTTAGTTGTTTTGCCGTAAAAGTTCTGCCGAGATACATGTCGAAGCTCCGGGGTCTAGGGGCGCTTCATTTTGTGTTTGTCGTGCTGGGAAGTGTCTCACGTTGTAGCCCTAGGGCCCGAGGTGGGGTGCAAAGAGCCCGGGCCGTGCTGCACTCTTGATTGAGGTGGGAAGCAAAGAGCCGTGCTGCAGCCTTAGATTTTGGGTGAGGTGGGAAGCAAACAGCCGGGGAGGCGGTGCTGCAGCCTTAGAATTTTGGGTGCGGGGGGGAAAGGAGCCCGGAGAGGGGTTGCGGCCCTAGTTTTTTTGGGTGAGGTGGGATGCAAAAAAGCTCGGGTATGCTGCAGCCCAGTGATGCCCAGTCAGGTCGATCAAAGACCGTGGGCAGGCTGTGATGCAGCCGCAGAATTTGGGGTGAGGCGGGAAGCAAAGCCCTGTGTGCGAAGCTTGTGGGAAAGCGACAGTTGCAAAGTAGATTGCCAAAAAACAGACTCGGAAGCCGAAAATCGTAAAGTTGGACCTTTTTTAAAACACTTATTATTAGTGCTTTAAAACGGGTCCAACTCTACGATTTTCGGTTTCCGGGTCTGGTTTTTGGCAATCTATTGTGAACTGGTGGAATCCCCGCAGTTTCGTCGTATGCGTCGAAGCTCCTGGTCTCGCGCGTTCACGCTCTAAAAGTGGCGGTTTTCGTGCAGCTTTTGCTTCGATGCATAACCGCTGTGTTATTTTGCCAAGAGTGGTGTTGTTCTTGTTGAAGTGTCAACCGACAGGTTATGCCGTAGCCGCAAAATCATAAAGTTGACAATCTGCTGTTCAATGTTGGCAGTAGACTGGGGCTTCGGTTGCATGGGTGGAGGTGGGAGCAAGTCGCTACCTGTCAAATAACTTTCCAGCATTGAACAGCGAAATGTCAACCTTATGATCTGCCTGTCTCTAGAAAGCGTTGATCTTTTTCTGACGACACTTGTCGAGGCGATCAAAGAACAATGCTGCATATGTCTCATCACTTGAGTGCAGTTTCAGGACCTAAAAAAACACAAGAAACGTAGGACGCATCACGTGACCTCCACAGTGCGAGAAAGATCTTACGTGAACACTGCAAGACTGCTTTGTCTTGGATGCCAGCCAAAGATCAGTCTGGCAAGCCACACATATCGACGGTGTTTTTGTTTTCTTGATCCAAACAGTCGAGACAGAATATCTTGTTCTTGTGTGAGTTGACTGCAGCTTTTTTTGAACTTACGCAGGTTCCAAAAAAGCAGCTGTATTCCGGGCACCGAAAATGGGCCCTGGACTGTGGATTTCTTTTCTGAAAGCACAAGGTCACCCAGTTTGGAGCCCCAATTTGGGGCCCAGATTTAGGAGCCATTTCTGGGCCCGCTTGCGCCATTTTTTTTGCGGGCAGAAGCCAGATCTGCTTTACACAGCCGGTCGTTGTGAGCAAAACAAATAAGCCTCTTGCTCAGTTCTGATCTACGTCTTGCCAGTCTCCCTTAAAATTTCGAAGAATAGCAAGAAGAACGTGCGGCAAAGTCTCATTTGGAACCGGAAGTTTCTCTGACTCTAACTGTGGAGGTCATCTGACGTGTCCTATGTTTTCTGTAATTTTTCGGACCCTGAAATGGATCCGTGTGACTGGCCACGTGGTGTTGCGTTTTCGAGCATGTCTGGAACGTGCAGGCCTCTGCCAGCCAATTTTTTGGTTGCATAGCAGTCCACCTGCGTTCCAGTGCGCAACATGCAGATTGTGCGCCAGTGTGGCGTCCGAGTGCAATTTGCAGTTGGTAAGGGTGGAATCAGGCTGATAAAGAACATTCTTTTAGTTGTTTTGCCGTAAAAGTTCTGCCGAGATACATGTCGAAGCTCCGGGGTCTAGGGGCGCTTCATTTTGTGTTTGTCGTGCTGGGAAGTGTCTCACGTTGTAGCCCTAGGGCCCGAGGTGGGGTGCAAAGAGCCCGGGCCGTGCTGCACTCTTGATTGAGGTGGGAAGCAAAGAGCCGTGCTGCAGCCTTAGATTTTGGGTGAGGTGGGAAGCAAACAGCCGGGGAGGCGGTGCTGCAGCCTTAGAATTTTGGGTGCGGGGGGGGAAAGGAGCCCGGAGAGGGGTTGCAGCCCTAGTTTTTTTGGGTGAGGTGGGATGCAAAAAAGCTCGGGTATGCTGCAGCCCAGTGATGCCCAGTCAGGTCGATCAAAGACCGTGGGCAGGCTGTGATGCAGCCGCAGAATTTGGGGTGAGGCGGGAAGCAAAGCCCTGTGTGCGAAGCCTGTGGGAAAGCGACAGTTGCAAAGTAGATTGCCAAAAAACAGACTCGGAAGCCGAAAATCGTAAAGTTGGACCTTTTTTAAAACACTTATTATTAGTTCTTTAAAACGGGTCCAACTCTACGATTTTCGGTTTCCGGGTCTGGTTTTTGGCAATCTATTGTGAACTGGTGGAATCCCCGCAGTTTCGTCGTATTCGTCGAAGCTCGTGGTCTCGCGCGTTCACGCTCTAAAAGTGGCGGTTTTCGTGCAGCTTTTGCTTCGATGCATAACCGCTGTGTTATTTTGCCAAGAGTGGTGTTGTTCTTGTTGAAGTGTCAACCGACAGGTTATGCCGTAGCCGCAAAATCATAAAGTTGACAATCTGCTGTTCAATGTTGGCAGTAGACTGGGGCTTCGGTTGCATGGGTGGAGGTGGGAGCAAGTCGCTACCTGTCAAATAACTTTCCAGCATTGAACAGCGAAATGTCAACCTTATGATCTGCCTGTCTCTAGAAAGCGTTGATCTTTTTCTGACGACACTTGTCGAGGCGATCAAAGAACAATGCTGCATATGTCTCATCGCTTGAGTGCAGTTTCAGGACCTAAAAAAACACAAGAAACGTAGGACGCATCACGTGACCTCCACAGTATGTATTCATGGCCTCCATCGCATGAGACTACTCGGTGTCCCGCGGCCTGGCATGCGCTCGCGCCTTCATCAACCAGACGTGGGAGCTCACAGAAGAGTCCAGCCCAAGATGGATTTTGGAGTCGGCTCTGAGGGAAGCCTTGCCAAGGGGCGCGGAGCTGACAGACCTGCGATTTCACCCGGACAGTTTTACTGAGATTATGGACGCTTTGAGCCCCGAGTTCTCCGGAGCCACACATTGTTTGTACCTGAGCGCCTGCTAGGTTGCCTGATGGATGTTCCGCGAACTCAAAGCGCCAGACGGCGCGACTTCTATGCTGACACATGAAACCGCGGAAGCCGCGGAGATTGCCGCGGAGATTGCCGCCGCCGTGAGGGTCCTGTTGGACGATGATGAAGTGACAGCAGGAGTGGTGCAACAGGGGCAACAGGGGCAGGGGGTCGATCCTTGAATGTACAGCCGCAGTCTTTGCACGCACAGATGATGCCGCAGCCCCCGAGTTCTGCAGTAGGTTGCGTTCCTGAATTCCTTGCGTTCGCATGGCGAATGAGCCTTATTCCCGGCACAGCCGGGGTTTTGATTGCATGTTACAGTTTCCGTGTGCATAACAAGACTTTGCCACGAGGTCCGGTGGTTTTTGAAATCGTAGAAGCCATGCTCCAAAGCCGAAGCCCGTACCGAACACAAACCACCGGCTACAGATGCACGTGTCTTCTAAACCACGTGTCAGCGTACAGATGATGCTCGCGACCCTAGACTTGTACAAACCCCCGCCGGTCGCACATACTCACGCTCGGCAGCCAGGCCGAAAACAGTTTGACGGCCACATCGAGCTAGCTTGGAAGCCTGTTCGGATTTGGGGTTAGCCTCCTGCAACCTGGCAGGCCTGCGCAACATCATCGAATCCGCGGCCAAGGTCTCGGGTGTCCGTTTCGCGCTGTCCGATTCAGCGAGTCAACTTGTGCCAGTGCAGCTGTGGCAGTCTCTGGAGAGTGTGCTGCGTGACATTTTTGTTTAAGGTGCTTAGGGTCGGCTTAGATATTTAGAGTTGAGACCTTGTCTGGAGGCCCCAGTGTCCTTAACCCGATGCCCTGGATGCTCGTTCTGGCGCATATTTGATGCTTTTCATGCTCGTTGCGATCCTCCAGCCTTGAGCAAGGACCCTTAGAGGCCCTTCACCCCTCCCCAAACCCTCAGCAGGCCTTAGAGGCCCTTCACTGCCCTCCAAGCCTTGAGCAGGGACCCTTAGAGGCCTTTCACTGCCCCCCTAAACCTGCAGCAGGGAGCCTCACAGGGCCCCTTCACTGCCTCCAAGCCTTGAGCAGGGACCCTGAGAGGCCCTTCACTGCCTCCCTAAACCCGCAGCAGGGAGCCTCACAGGGCCCTGCAAGCCTTGAGCAGGGAGCCTTAGAGCCCCTTCACTGCCTCCCTAAACCTGCAGCAGGGAGCCTCACAGAGCCCTTCACTGCCCTCCAAGCCTTGAGCAGGGACCCTTAGAGGCCTTTCACTGCCCCCCTAAACCTGCAGCAGGGAGCCTCACAGGGCCCCTTCACTGCCTCCAAGCCTTGAGCAGGGACCCTTACAGGCCCT